GACTTAAGGGAAATAGAAACTTAAAAAAACTACTCAAAATCAGAAAGAGACAGCTTAAATTTCTGGGATCCATAATGAAAAAAAAAGGCGTGGGGAATTTAATACTCACAGGTAATATCGAAAGCAACAGGAACAGAGAGAGGCATCAGGTTAATTAGGTGACGAGCTTGTGGGAATTGATTGCAGAACATCATGGTAGTGAGGGTGGCAAAATGACAAGTGTTACTAAGATCTACAAATAATAGGATGTTTTGGAGAACCGTGACCACCCACGTCCTGAAAGAAAGATTAATATAGAAGAAAAGGATGAAGCTTTTTTTATCATCTTCATGAATTAACTGCGTATTTCTTGATTCATTTGCGTGTCAATTCTAACCCTTTTCGTTCTTCATACAAATTTAACTCATCGTTACGTGTCGTGACTCTTCGGGGCGTGGGAGAACGTGACACTCCGATTTTCCTCTCCTTCGTAGATCTAAATAAATTCCCTATTTTTGTCATTTCTCCTAAACTTTCTTCCAACATCTATTTACTCAAATTCTCTGAATACGTAATTCGTTGCCTTCAATCTGTCCTGTGAGTATCAGATTTTCCAAGCCCCTTTTCCTCGTTATGTGCCCTAGAAATTTCAACTGCCTCTTTCTGATGTTCATTATAAGTTTCTGTTTTGTTTCCGTTTTCACTAAAACCTCGTTGTTGCTTACATAGTCGGTTTATGGCATTCTCAGCGTCCTTCTGTCGATCCACATTGCTCCTGTTTCAAGTTTCTTTTTCATCATTTTGAGGAGATTGGTCCAGCATTCTTTGTCATATAAGAGGACAGATATCACGTAACAGATCAGTACGCTACGAAATCAATTTGCCAATGTGTACTGCATTTTTTCGACTTCGTGTTTTTTTCCCAGGCACTCATTCTTTCTTAATTCAACTTCCTGGGGACATTCATTGATTTCATTGATTAGACAGTCTTTATTGTATTCTTCTAAATTATTGTACCTTTTTTTATTTAATTTATATTTTGATTTTTTTTTGTTAGCTTTATTGTATTTCGTCAATTTCACCAAACACTGTTCATATCCGTTTCTTTTTTTAACTTTTTACAAATTTCTATTTCTGTCGACTTATTGATTTACTTCAGAAATAAGAAACATGACGTTCACAATTTTAAAAAGTGTCTCTTAATCTCAATGTGAGAAACACAAGATAATTTCGCAAAAAAATAATTCGATAAAAGGTATTTCCATTGACATTTTTATAGTTAGTTAAATGTCTGAAACTAGAGAGGAAACTTTGATCTGATCTATTGGCAGGCGTCGGTTCATATAATTTCAAAGAATATTTGTGCCATGTGTTCTCAGTCGAAAGCTACCTTAGACGAGATTTGAACTCTGTTCTCCAATTTTATTTTCAAGTATTGTTAATAATTAGACCAAAATCCTACACATCAAAATAGTACAGAATTATTTCAAATATTCTTAAAAGAGAACATTTTTAATTGAACCACAATTTCACACACACACACACACACACACACACACACACAGATATATATAGAGAGAGAGAGAGAGGGCGATGAAAATCCAGAGATAAATACACCCTTATGGAAATTAATTGGAACAAAACGAATAATTCCGTTATTATTTACTTTCTTTTCGTATTTTTCCAAAGAAACATGGCCCAGTGCACATGTTATTACTTCGTATATCCATTTCTCGAAGATTGACCACAGATTCTCGATTGGAATTAAATCAGGAAAGTTTCCGGGCCAGTCTATAGTACTTTGATTTGCTAACTGGTAAAGCTTGCCAGCGTCTTCGTGAAGAGTTACAAATTTTCCTACGCTTCCTTGGAGTAACATCCATCGTAAAAAATTGACGTAGGACAACTAATTGACAGTCAGACAATAGTGTCTCGGCGTGATATAAATATTTTTCACACTTGGGCAAGTTAATTGAAACAAAACAAATAATTCCGTTAGTATTTACATTTTTTCGTATTTTTGTAATGAAACATGACCCAGTGCACATGTTGATTCCAATAAGATATCCAATTGTGATGAATATTTTTAGATGAGAAAAAAAGTCTTTCATCATCATCATCATCATCATCATCATCATCATCATCATCCCGAATATTTTCTTTCTTCTTTGAAAGGTTAAGAATCGTTTGGAAATCATTAGCATCAGTTGAAGCCGTTTTAAAAAAAAAAAGAGATAAAGACATGTGTATACACATTTGTGTAAATTAATTTTCACGATTATTTTTTTATAAATTGGTAAGTGATAAAAAATTGTATTGCATTAGTTCTAATTGTATTTGTTTTTAGAATGTTGTAAATTATTCTTGTAATGAATCTAAAAAATAAACTGTTTAGTATTTTTGTTGTAAATTCTCAAGAATATAAAAAATGTATGGATTCATCATTAATTTCATCATTCACCCTTGTGCAAATTAATTCTAACATAATCATTAATTCCGTTAGTATTTACTTTTTTTCCTATTTTTCTAATAAAACATGACCCAATGCACATTTTAGTACTTCCACCACCAACACCACCACCACCACCCCTACTACTACTACTACTACTACTACTACTGAAGATGTTTAAAAAATGAGAAAGAGAAAATTTTCTTGGCGGGAGGATAGTCTTCGTCAGTGTCGTCTTGTTCGGATATCAAAGGTTCATCGTAGTAGAAGGACATTGTAAAGTGAAAAATAAACTGTGTGATAATCAAGACATACACCTTTGTGCAAATTAATTAGAACAAAACGAATAATTCCGTTATTACTTACTTAATTTATTTGATAGGAATGGATGTTGTGTCAGCGAATTCGGCGAAAAAATCTTTTCAGCACAATGGCTTAATACTACATTGCTTAGTTTCTGTTAATAGTCGTAAATTATATAAACTTTACGATGAACTATATTCGTGCTTCTTCTTGGCTGGATGATTATCACCTTATTCTTACTTAACGCAGATTTCTTGGTTGAAAACTCTGCAACTGACAAAAGAAATATTACAAAATATAAGGTCACCGAATTGGTTAAGGTGCCTTCATTAAAAGACTAACCCCTAAAATATGGGATAAAAGCTAATTCAACTTTTTCCTCAATTCACTTGTTTCCAAAATTCTAAACAATAAAACCATTTCACTATGTGTCTCTACGGCCGACTTTCCTCTTCCCTCTCTTTAATCCCGGTATGACGATAAACTGCATCCAGCAACAAGACCTCTGATCGAGATATTAGAAGTTTTCAGGAGCGTAGAACTACCTGATAATTGCTTTTGTTCTCAGGTACTCTCTGACCCGAGGTGGTAGCACCTGTTAGGGTACCATCTATGGATAAATATTGAACCCTGAAACAAAAGCAAAACACAATGAAAGGAAAATGGTAAAAATTTATCGTAAAATACCAACAATACATTTTTCTATAAAATTTTTTTCAACAATACCCATTTATAATACAATTATCTACAATATATTTTATTTGTAGTTAAAGGCATACAACTGCGTACAAAATATTTAAATTTCGGCATTAAATAACCCATAGAGTTGTTGATATGCTGCTCTACAAAATAAACTAACACTTCCCTCTTTTACTGTTACTTACAAACGGCTTTGATGTCTGCTTCCAGAATGAAGCTATCCTCAAAATGTGATTTCATTGCAGAAGCGACACTGAAAGCTAACGGCATTTATAGAGTTGGCACTCAACCGGATAAGTAGTGGGGGTGTCATTATAATAGTAATGAGGGTATCTATCACTCCACCGTCATTTTAAAGAATTAACCATCATTTAATTATCTAACATGCATGGGCACGTGGTTAGGTGGTTAGAACATTCGAATTCTAATTATGTGACCATGGTCAGGATTGTTAGGTGTTATTGGACTGGTTGTGGGGGGGCGGATTCGATCCCAGCGTGTGGCACCTTCGGAAAGTGCCTGGAAACCATACCACGGGTTGAACCAAGCCTTGTGAGTGAGACTGGGTTGACGGAAACCTTCAATAGTTGATCTAGTCACATGTCGTGATCGTGCTGACCTTGTTCAAAATATTGATCACGATTGCTAATACGCTCTTTTTCAGAAACTTTAATTCAGGTCTGCTCAGCATAGTTGCAGTATAAACCGCAAGTGGGTGTTGAATAAACACAAATGTGCCTGAGAGAGCGTCTGCAACAGGGATTGTCTAGCCGCCATAGTAGACTAGTATATTCGAATACGAATGGCCAGCTATATAATTATCTTACACCAAATATCCAAACAAAGAGGTTTTTCTTGCCAAGAAAATCTTATGCTTCAAATTGGGTTCGAACCCTGGTGTGTGTTTCCGTGAGAAAATATGCCATACTATCAGCCACGTTTCAAAACAATACATGTTAACGATTTTCGTTATAAAAATTTCGAGAAAAAAATCTACTTCGTCTCCTTAAATCTGATTTCCCTTAAATAAAATGAAGAAAACTATTTGCGAGCTTTGCGGACAGTGATTAATACCGTTTTAATTTGGCCAAGACCGGGCTATTTCTCTCCTCCTGACCGCTGTTGAATTTGTACGACTATTTAAACATTTTTATCTATCATTCCGGTGAATCTTTCGAAAACGGACGAAATATCAACGGCCAACTTCAACAACGTAACCATTTGTGTCTAAAATTGTGTCTAAAAGCACGCATGAGCAAACCAATTTAATTACTCACGTCTTGCCTTAGCTTTAGAAAAACAGGTTTTTATATTTACATTTACCGAATGATACATAGTTCATGAATTTGATCAGGAAAACTTCAGGGCTCATGAAGTGGTTGTGATGAAGTATCGCCCGTACGCTCGCTCTGTCCGTTAATAAGTAAATAACGTGTTGGCTTTATGTAAATTTTCGCTAAGAGTACACAGACTAAAATCTTTCATCCTCAGATACTCTCAACCGATTCATTCGGGATTAATCCTGACAGAGTTAAGCGAGTATTACATTAGCTATAATGTGAGCAAATATATGTGCATCTTCATTTGTCTGACACTTTCTTTCTTTCTTTCTTTCTTTCTTTCTTTCTTTCTTTCTTTCTTTCTTCTCTTTTCTTTTAATTATTTGCAATTTACTTTATTTTTCTTTCTTGCTATCCTTTTTCTATTTCTTTCTTTTTTCTTCCTTTTTCTTTCTTTCTTTTTTCTTTCGTCTTTTTCGTTTTTCTTTTCTTTACTACTGATTATCTCTTTCTCTTTCTTTTTAAATTATTTTTCTTTCTTTCTTTTATTTATTCGTGTTTTATTATTTTTCTTTATTGCTGTTGTTTTCTCTTTCTTTATTTTTTTTTTCTTTCTTACATTGATTTTATTTTATTTTCGTTTTTTTCTTTATTTTTCTTTACTTTTCTTTCTTGTTACTTTTCTTGCTACTCTTTTTTCTTTCGTCTTTTTTCTTTATTTCTCTACTATACTAGTCATTATCTCTTTCTCTTTCTTTCTTTTTAAATTCTTTCTTTCTTTTATTTATGCGCATGTCATTATTTTTATTATTGATATTTTTTCTTTCTTTGTTTTTTTCTTTCTTACATTGTTTTTATTTTATTTTCGTTTTTCTTTATTTTTCTTTACTTTTCTTTCTTGATATTCTTTTTCCCTTTCTTTCATTTTTTCTTACATTTTCTTTCTTTTTTCTTTTTTCTTTATTTCTCTTTCTAGTTATTCATTTTCTATTTCTTTTCACTTTATTTCTTTCTTTCTTCTTTTGTCTTTTCTTTTGTTTATTAGGTATTTATTTTTCTTTCTTGCTATTCATTTTCTCTTTCTTTTTTCTTCCTTTTCTTTCTTTCTTGTTTCTTTCGTCCTTTTTTTTCGTCTTTTTTCTTTATTTCTCTTCTTTTCGTTTTCTCTTTCTTTTTTCTTTCTTTCTTTTCTTTATTCTCTTTTTCATTATTTTTCTTTCGTGTTATTCTTTTTTCTTTCTTTTTTCTTACTCCCTTTTCGTTTTTTCTTTATTTTTCGTTCTTGCTATTCTTTTTCTCTTTCTTTTTCCTTTCTTTCTTTTCTTTTATTTGTTCTTTTGTCTTAACTTTCCTTTATTACTATTATTTTTTCTTTCTTTTTTCTTTTAAACTGTTGTTTAGATTCAACTCTTATTTATAAGGAAATTTTCCTCTCTCATAATAATTCAATTAGTTTTTGAAAAGCTCTTTTCTCTTTATATGCGCCTTCGTGAATAATATTTGAATGTCAATGAGACAATTGTTTTATTAGGGAATAAAATCAAATCATGACAATATTGTATTCCAGTTTATATTCAAATAAAGTCACTGATTTCTTCTGACTGCATTTGTTAATGTGCTCAGACTTAATACTATTGACCAGTTCCCAATGATTAACCGTTCCTAACCCGTTATGTCTTTTTTTATAGTTATTGTTTCAATCGTTTATTATATGGGTTGTTGTATCATCTGTTTCGCTACATTTGCTGTGTTTTCTCTTTATAATTCTCACTGATGTATTTGTTCTGGATTCTAATGCTAAGTATTCTGTTTCGCTTTGTTGGTTTCCTCAGAGTAACCATTTGAAAGAGTAGACGTTTGCGATAGTTTCTATCTCTCTTTTAAATGGCCTTTGGGGACTATTGTTTTCTCATATTTCTTTCTTGTTTGACTTTCCCACGATTTTTGCATTCTTTTCTTATTTTAACCCTTACACAGTGTTGACAGCAAGCACAGATAGGAAACTACATGAACTCCGAGATAACTTATTGAAGCAAAGCAAGAAGAAAGAAACACCAATTACAAAAAAACAGAATGCATGGCTGTTAGTAAAAAGAAACAACCCAATATGCAAATTACAAACTGGAGATACAAAAATCAAACAAGAACAACAATTTAAATATCTTGGAAGTGTTTTAACGGAAGACAAATTGTGCAGCACTGAAATTCGAAAGCGATTTGTGACAACGTAAGATGCATTCAAGAAGCTAAGCAATATATTAAGAAACAAAAAAATTTATAAAATCTTTTTCTTTAAAGAAAAGATCAGTCAGTTATGTGCCACGCGTGATAAACGCTTAGGTAGATTTTTCCCGCCGTAGGTTGCCATTTCATTCTGCGGTAGGCCAGTTGCCATCCAAGGCTATAGAACCCATTCTATCCTGCAATTTACCCATAGCTGGGGGGAGAAGAAGAGGATTCATACCTTTCCCAAGGGTATTAGCTTGTACGTGATTGTAATTGATTCGACTAGTATTAGATTCTTCAATTCGAGCCGCTATCAATTACTCCAACTTTTAGATAATATGAGTTCTCCTATCCGACAGTGAATGTTGAACCATCTCATCACAGATGAAGATGACACTTGAAGCAAGAGAAATTCGGTTCTACAGAAGGATGATGAGAATGCCATGGACTAAACATGAGAGCAACGACGCATTTTTAAAGAAAATGGAAGCAAGAACGGCATATACATAACATCAGGAAGAGACCGTTGAATTTTATAATTTTTAATGTGGAAAGACGGTTCGGGAAATCTGATACTCACAGGACAGGAGGTAAAACACCAACGAATCATGTATACTAATATTTTTCTAAACGTCGAAATCCATGTCTGATTTTGTTTTTGAAAATATATATGTGTAGGGGGTTGGCGATGGAGTAGACCAAAGGTACCTGTAGCAGACAAAGTGAATGCGCGGCGCGAAACCAGCTGATAAGTAGGGATTTTCTAAGCGTAGCTTAGATGTGGCACAAGGCCGTAAATATTGGGGGGCACAAGTGAGGATCGAACTCACTACGCATTCGTAATTGTTCTACGCACCGTATATTCCCTTCAAGATGAAGGGAAAAGATATATGATTTAACTGTATATCATAAATGTGTGATTGATTAATAAAATATTGATAGTTTTACTCTTGATAGAATCTTGGGAGAGAAACATTTTCTATATAACATCAATATGATCAAGTTGTGTTTGTCAAAATTATCCCATGAACTTGAAGGCACATAACTTCGTCTCATATGGCAGATTCTTTCTTTTTCTCCTTTTAGTTGTTAATTTTCACGCCCTACTTCTTCTCTACATACATACATACATACATACATACATACATACACATAAACGCCAGTATTTGCTAAACACGTAATTGTAATAACTCTCAAAACTAGTAACCTTGATACAATTAGATCATATATCTTTTCCCTCATCTCGAAGGGAATATACGGTTACGTCTCTCTCGTTTTGTTGTTAGTAAGCGTTGCCAACAGCGTACTGAAAACTCGGCTCGAACCATTTTCCAATATCTGACAAAAATGACCACACAGAATTTATTTTTATCTTGTTAAGCCTGAGAACTTTTCAGCAAGCCTTGTATGTGTCGAGAATATATTTTTGTTTAAGTGAAAATAAATTTGCTTCAGACGATTGTTCCCAGTGTGCTAGTTAATTGACAATAAATGCATTCGAAAAAGCACTTAATTGTGAGCGGCTTCATTCGTTCCAGACATCTGTTTCAAAAAGAAATATTTTAAACTGGCTTTTCACCAATTTTTTAACAATTAATCGTGCACTAAACTGAGAATTTGATGTTATGATATGCTGCTGAAACTAAATGAATATATATATATATATATATATATATATATAGAGAGAGAGAGAGAGAGAGAAGAGAGAAAGAGAGAGAGCAGTCAACCAGAGATCGACGGAAAAGGCAAAGAAAAAGAAAAGAATAAATAAATAAATAAAAAAAACAAAAGAAAGGAAAGGAGAATAAATGAAGTCACCAAACAGGTAAAAATAACACCCACCAAGCGAAAAAAATAACACACACATACGACAATATATAAGTAGAAAAAAATCGATAAATATCAATACAATAGTCCATCTTTCTATGTGGCAACGGAACTTCGAAGTCAGCATGATCAAAATACTGTCCACTGAAGTAAAAAAAAAAAAAAAAAACGTTTTCATATTAATTCAATCTTTATCTCTATCACAACTTTCCTTCCACCAGAAATTTGGAAACAGCATACTGTTCCGCTTGGCATTCGCGGCAGAAGCTGCAATACAAAAATTTCAAAGTGTGTTGCTATTAGTTTGAAGACATGGTGCAGAAGATTCGGAAAATGTTGGATGATCTTGATAATGATTACGAAAGTTTTGGGCGTGATCACTAGTGATGTTTAGGTTATCCCTCCATTCATCTTCAAGAAGGTCTCAAAATCAACACGGCGGCCTACATCGTGCTTTGAAGAGGTAGTGCTGCCCTGGGTCAAGAGGGTGGCTGCTGAAAGACCATATATCTGGCAATAACACTATACACTATGTCTTAGAAGCAGAAGAATCCAGTCACCACTCCTGACATTTGGCTACTTAACTCTCCAGACTGCAACGACCTTAATTATTATGTGTGGGTGCAGTTGAACGGGAGACAAACAAAACTTGTGACACCGAATATGAACATGATTATGACAGAATTCACCAACTTAAACAAGGAGACCGTCCAGTATATATATATATATATATATATATATATATATATATATATATATATATATATATATATATATATATATATATATATATATATATATATATATATATATAGCACTAGCAGCATGGATCAGCGTTGCCCATGCTTGATTCAATAACAGAATTCACCAACTTAAACAAGGAGACTGTCCAGTATATATATATATATATATATATATATATATATATATATATATATATATATATATATATATGCATACATATATATATATGCACTAGCAGCATGGATCAGCGTTGCCCATGCTTGATTCAAAAATCGTACGACTCATACAGCAATTGTTATCACTTGACTTAAAATATTTTTGCCCTTCCTTGCCTTTAAAGGGGTGCCCTTTATCGTGCTGATGTTGCTACACGCCTTACTTCTTGCCTATCTCACACTGCGATTTTTTTCTAAGCTCTATACTAAACATTAAATCTGTTACGAAAAAAGAACTAAACAAAATGAACACAAAACGATCAGCTCTAAAAAAGGACTCGTAACTGGAAAAACCGAATGAAAAAAGAATATTAAAAACAAATACTTTTTTCACATCCAACCCAATTCTGCGGAATCAGAATCAACGTTGAGTTTAAGCAAGCAAATGAGCCAATTGGAGTAAAGTGCCATACAGATTTAAATTTTTCCCACCTGCGACGAATGGAGCTATCGATTTTTTTGCATGCTAGCATGCTAGTTAATATTCGTGTCAGTCCGCTGTTGGCTCTCACGCTGGCCAATACAATCTTCCTGCCTATTTGTGGCAGCCAGATATTGGCTCTCACACTGTTCAGTAGAAAATGGCCGCAAACTACATGAAAACTGCCGTAGAGGCATGAAAAAATTTATTATTTCCACTATCGATGGGAGTTTGGAAATGAAAAGTCGGTCTTGGCCTTCCCGCTTACTTGGAGCATGTGCATGTAAATTTTGGGGCAAATCCGTCGAAGATTACGGCCGTGCATTCGTTACACACACACACACACACACACACACACACACACACACACACACACACCTCCCTTTATAGATAGATATATATATATATATATATATATATATATATATATATATATATATATATATATATATACACATACATACATACTGATAATGAAAGAAGGATAAAAAGGATGTTATCGATGATTTTAGAATGACCGAAAGTAATACAGTCGTTTGTACCAATATATAGATAACTGAAGAGGGCTTGTTTGTCTGTTTACTATATACAATTTGGGTACATTGATATTATCTTTGACTAATGTTCTTAAATATCACCGTCAGATCGAGTCTTTCATGGATGCCATGCTTGGCGACAAACCCGTTCAGAAATATCTAAACTGTCAGTTGTATAAACATTTATTTGCTTTGCATAATTATTGGACCATGTGGAAAGAATTAATAACTTCGAAATAATTAATGAATTTAATTCCATATCTTTATTACCTTGAGCATTATTTCTGCTGGATACCCATTTTTTGAGTAGACGCTCCGTTTGTTAATCAGTTTGCATTACGTCCCCTCTCCTGGAGTGATAGACTTAATGAACGCTG